ATGAAATGAATCAATATAAAATTCATATTTAAAATGATACTTACCTCTTGAATGACCTCGCGATTCCCGTTAGTTTTCAACACTTTAAGAGCGACAAAAAGTCCACAGTCCTTCCAATATGCTTTGTAAATGTTTCCAAATTCGCCCTCATCAATTTTTATAATATTGTCAAACTCTTTATATTCAAAAAGATTAAATTTTTTCAAAACGTCCGACATAGTTTCAGAAAGAAATTACTCGGCTCTTCAATCTCATTTGATATTTCTATAAATCGTATCCTAACCTAGAATTTAATAATTGCACTACTACATAAACTAATAAACAAAGAATATAATGTTTCCAATTAAATTATTAGAATTTTGTAGTACAATTATTAACGCATAAATTTGCATTCTCAAAAAGTTGTTTATTGCGCTAGACTCAACAGCCATTTATAATGTATAATATTCAACCACCATTTTCAACGATGCGTTGGACACCTTTTCGCAACAGCGAAGAATACAACAAGAACGACGAAATCAGGGCTATCGATTATTTGCAATTTACGAAAGTAATCGATTACGATCCAATTTTCGAAAGACAAGTAATCAATCAAAATGACGTCCATAAAGTTATGTGGGAAGATTTTTGAGAAATTGTCGTTCTTAAAAAAGCAAGTCGTTATATAAAAGAGGTATCATTCGATTATTCAAAAATATAAACTTTACTTTAATAGTAATTAAAATTTCTGCTTTTACATCCTATATAATTTACACAGCTTCGAAATTTACAGAATATCAGTTTTCATCCTAATATTGTTCGATTTTATGGTTTAACTAAAGGTGAATGATTTTAATAGTAAATAAATTAAATATATTTCCATAAAAATTTAGAAAATGACCTATAATTAATAGATCTATCCTGGAATCACCATATGGTTTTGCAATATGCTAATGATGGGAATTTGCGAGATTATCTGAATCGTAATTCTTGGAAACTCAAATTGTGTGATAAATTACGGTTTGCCAGAGAAATAGCTTTAGGTCTTTCTTTCTTGCACAAGTATAAAATTATTCACGGAAATCTCGTAAGTCATTAACATATTTCTATTAAATTTCTAAAATATAAATTAAAAAAAAATACATAAAATTTCATTTATTTAAATTGTGATTTGCAGAATACAAAAACCATTTTCGTTCACGAAGGAAAAATGATGATTGCAGCTCATTTGAAGAGTAATGAGATCGGAAG